TCATGTTGAACATTGAAGAGATTCTTCAACTCGACATTCTCTGGCACATTTTGTGTGTGTGGAATTCAATGAAATAGAGAAATTCGGTGAAAATGCCGAGAACTCTGGGAAAATGAGTGCAAAATCTCCAGCTCTGACCACGAAATTATTTGATGTTCTGCTGGGTTTGTTTTTGGTCGAATTCATGGGTTTTCGTCTGGGTTGAAAAGTGAAAACAAAGCCATACAAGTGAAGAATAACAATGCAACGGAAGACTCCCAGAAATACTTTTGGGCATTCAATTGGGGAGAGAAGAGGAGAAAAAAAAAGCATAAATTCTCAAGTATCTCTTGCTGGCGCTCACAAAACCATTCCCTTTCTGTTATATAGCTTGTCGGTATTGTTGGGTTTTTCCACATCACCACGGAAATTTCCCTTATTAATGGCGGCGAAGGTGAGGAAAAGCGGTGAGATGCTTGGCGGTTGATGTAAAATGTGTACAAAAGGTGGATTTGTTATAAATATTTCGGATATTTTGCTTTTTCTACCCATTCAGGAGTTCTGAGGTGAAATATGTCTTCATTGTCTGCACAGATCATTTCATCTACGATAGTTTTGGCCATTCCAAACCACTAAATCAAGCGACATTTAAACTTGAAGATCAAGTGTAAAGAAAACTTTTGGCATTTCTGAGAGTGAGAAGCATTTTCCGCCAATATTTGGTCGTTGCAGAAGCGGAAGAGTGTATGAAATATTCAAATAATCCCGGGAGAAGTACAAATGTGGCGTGTTCTTTGTGTCCAAGGGGGAGATAATATGGCCACAAGTGATGTACAGATCTTTAGAATATTTAAGAAATGATATTTTTTACACAGCTTTGATTTTCTGTTAATTATTTCACTTTGAGAAATCAATTTTTATCCAAGTCCTCATTTTGACATATTTTTCTAGGTTATGTGTATGATTTAAGACTGAACAATATCTTAAAGTAGAAATTCTTAGCCTAAACTTAGAGTATTTTCACTTTATTAGTAGAATTGCGTATTTTTACTCAAAGAAAATCGTGATTTTAAGAAAAAAAAATTCTAAAATCAAACATAACCTCAATTTTTTTAAAGAAATAAAATTTAATAAAAGGATTTTAATCCCAAAAATAGCATAAGTGCAATTTTCGCGGAAGAAAATCATAAAATATAGTGTGAAAACGTGAAGCTTAAAAGTTTGTTAGTTAGATTTGAGTTAGTTTTTGGTTAGATTTCAGTTGTTTGTTGATTTTTAGTCTTGTTATAAACAATCTATGCAGTCTGAAGTCCTGGGAAGTGTTAAGGATTCTTCATACAAATCGTGGAAGTCTCAGGAAGTGGTTCTGAAGATTTCAGCCATATTTTCTTCCCCTTGGCTTGTGCCTTTGGCGCCTGATGGTGGCAAAAGGGGATGGCAGACAAGCCTGTGACGGCCGATGATTTACGCAGAAATGTGCAGCATTTTGTGAATAATATCGAAATCCCTCTTCATTTACACACTGTCGACTTTGGGTGATTGAAGAAAGAGGCCGCAATGTGCGGAGGGAAGGAATATTTTGTGGGTGCACTGAGCGTGACAGGCGAGGGAAAAATATGAAAATAAACCGCTGTCAATGCGAAATGCTTTCATTCGTCAAAATCACAGAAGTGAAGAATTTCAAAATAAAATACTTTCAATTGGGAGAATTTCGTATATCGTCGGCGTGCATTTTCTTTCCATGTAGCCGCGTGAAAATTGCGCCAAATTGAATAAAATCCCTGCACGCTATATGTTTTTGCGGGGGAGGGGGGAAGTCTATATAAAATATATCGCGCAGGAACCCACAATAAATATCATGTTTCGCACAGGGAAGTAATGCAGCAGCTCTGTTGGTGGAATTTACTAAGTTTTTTTTTTCTTCCTCGATAATATAAAATTTTCCGATTGAATTCCAGCATGGAGAATTCCTCAAACACGCCAAAATGATGCCGTCTTCTGAGATTTCCACACAAAAGGCGCATTTTCACCTTTTACGCGAAACACCGTTCCACATAAACAACATTTTCATGTCACATTCAGTATCTTTTATCTGCACCCAATAATAAGCCACATTTTTATCAATTTCCAATGGAGCGACACGCTACATAAGAAATAAATTCTGCGCCATAGTGGCGGATTTATGTTGAACATGAAATATACACCTCGATGGATTCAAGAGAGGCTGGATATATTTTTATTGTCACGGCAATGTTGGCTGGGCATGATATAGGATAAGCCACAGCGACGGGGTAGAAATTTCATCATTGGGTCATGTTTTCCCGGGAAAATCCTGGAGTAAAGAATGAGACTCACAAAATGAATTGATGTGATTTTGATGTAATTAAAATTGATTTTTACCTTTCATTTTTCACAAAATATCAATTTTCCAGTTGCTCTTCTCAAGCTAAACCGAATGGGTGAATCTTAGAAAAAAAAAGTGTCGGATTAAGCCAGAGGTGAAAGCGGCAAAACTGTGACAACCTACAATTATTGAGTTATCTAAGTCAGAGAGATGCACAGGAAAATTGCACGCTTTGCTTTCAACTTCCTCCAACTCTGTGTGAAGTTACAAATGAAATCAGCGTCAAATGAAGACATTTTCATATATCTTTCCCTTCGTGCACAAGAGAGAAAGAAAGTCCCCAAGTTGATCATGTAAAATTGTCATAATATTGTGCAAAAATGTCGCAGTAAAAATTGCACAACTTCGCTGGAGGAGAAAGAAAAATCAGCGGAAATGGAGGCGGATTCGCACAGTGAAATTACATTGCGAGGGGAAGCGTGAATTCTTGGGTGACTTTGTGAGCCAAAATCCCCCGATTTAGTCACTAATTTCTCCGCAGATATTTCCATTGTTCTCCCACTCCTTGGGAGAAACTTCTTGCATCGCCGTGCAAGTGTTTCTCAGCCCGATGAAAGTGGTTCAAGTGAAGAAAGAGAACTCTTTGACCGTGGAACAATCTCTTCTGTTCCCTCATCTTTGATACATTTCAATGGTACACATTCAGAAGCATTAGCAGAGAGTGAAGACAAAACCTGTTGTAAGACTTGGTGGCTTTTGGGAGTTGAGATTCAAATCCTCAAAATTGTTAAGCAGTCTGGAATGAATGTTATTTGAGGAATTTCTTTGAACGCATTGAAAACGGTGAAATGCATTTTGCAATCTTTCTTACTGCTTCAAAGAATTTCTTGAATTCCGGTGAATATTTTCTAGGAATTTTTGGTTATTATTCAAGCCAAGGGGGAGATAATTTGCCTTCAATCTTTACACCACTTCAGACACTTCTGGACACCTTTAAATGCATTTTTCATAGCTCTTTAGACTCGAAATCTTGGTTTTTTCCGTCTCAAGAAGTTTAAGCTCTTCAAATGCTTTGATTTGAGATTGAAAGATCTGATTTCTGTCTTCATTTTCTAGTTTCGTCTTCGAAATATTCTCAGAAAGATTCTGACCAAATTGTGAGGTTATGAATCCAGTCAAGAAATCCTTCTTGAAATACTCTGGAAATGAGTAAATATAGTGAATATCAGAATGTTTCTAATAGAAATTGAAGCACAAACCGCAGAAATAACTAAGAAAAGAGACATTTTTCTACACTGAAATGATATTTTTGAGGTTATGATTGACTTTTAAGCTCTTTCTGAGCAAATATGAAGTTATTTTGAATACAAAATGCTTTAATCTTCTAAAAATATGGAAATACTTCCTGCTTACATACAAATTTGATGATTTTGAGAGGTTTTAAATTTAATCCCATAACCTAGAAAAGCAATACAATCGACTATATCGCAGCAAAGTGATTTAGAAAATGCCTTCATCAAATGCAATAGCTGTGACGTGCTGAAGGAGTGCAGTTGGGAGTGCAAGACAAGTTGACAGTGGGTGGCCACTGAAATGGAACTCGCGTTTTTGCACACACTCAATCTTCCACCTCTTTGGGCAATTGTTCCCGCAATGGTGAATCTTGGCGGATGGCGTTGAGGGGAATTTCACACAGAAACAATTGCAAATGATCTCCATGATGTTTCACATGTGGAAAGGCAGTGAGACAAGTGATGGAATCTCTTGTGCCCGGAATGAAATAGAAAGCTCACATTGCAGCGTCAGTTCATTCGTGGCCACAGGCGAAGACGCGCTCTCTGGTCGAGTGCAAAATGTGCAAAGTGAGATGAGAAGTTTGGAGAAATGACGCCGCAAGGATCAGTGTTCCTGTTCACATTAACACTTTTAATTGCGCGGCAAGTCGCAGCTGGACAGCCGCCGAAATGCTACAATCGCCTCGAGGGGGCGCTGGATGAGATGCTGTACAAGTCGCAGGCGAGATCGCAGTCGCGATCCTTCATCGACTTGTCCACCTACACCATCACGCAGCCCTTCAACTACCAATATCCCGTGCAGTTTGACGGCCGCGAGGACGCGAGTCCGGAAGGAAGGCTCTCGCAGGCGCTCAACAGTCTGCAGCCGACGAGCGTGGATGTTTCAAACGTTAAGTTTAGGATTCCGAAGAACACCAAATGGGTGAGTCAAAGGGGAAATAATAGTGTACACCACAATTTCAGTAGATCACAGACACTTCCAGGACTTTTGCAGTGCCTAAAACATGCGTTTTCCTCATTTTCCAACCGCCTAGAGTATCATAACCTCAAATTTAGGAGTCTTTGTCCTAAAAAAAGACGCAATTTTTACTTGTATGACCTTGAAAACTTGCAGAGAAATAGTATTTTAGAAACATTTAAAGCTTCCAGTGCATATTTTGATGAGATTCAATTTAAAGTCGCTCTTTTGGATGAACATAACCTAAAAATTTCCTTGAGTTGTCGAAAAGAATCTTTGAAAGAAACTTATTCGGAAGTTTATTAAAGACAACACTGAGGAAATTTTGCTATTTTAGAGCAGAAAATCTATCAAATAGCTCTTAAAACAGATAATTTTGCATTCCAAAACAATATTTAAGAGGTTATGATCAATCTTTGCGTAAATAAACAGTTTAACATTGATAAAATTCATAACATATCCTAGAAAATTGTAAGAAACAATTCGGTTTCTCCAATTTTTGCGGTTATTTCTGTTGAAAGCAAGTTCTAAATGCACCATATTGGAAATGGTTAGGCACTTTCACTGAACTGTACACCATTCTGACCATAATATCTCCCCCTTGGAGTTGTCTCAGGCGAATAAGCATACAATGGATCGCTGCATCTCCTCACACTTCTTCGATCTCTGTCTTGGCAGGTGCGCGTGGAGAAATGCCAGTTGATTACACACAATCGGACACTGGACACGAGATTGACCTTTCCGGATCTCACGATCTACGGCAGGGTGACTCTGAGGCCAGTTGGCGGTCACTGTGACATGATTCTGCGACTGCGTCGCGTCGGAATTGACTTCCAGACGTCCGTGCTGCCCAATCAGAGCTTCGAGAAGAGTGAATCGCGATCGGTTAACGTGAGGACAGATTCTTACTTCGCCGAGCCAGGATTCATGTCGATCTTTGCTCATGGCTGCGAAGGACCGACTGATGTGAAATTCCGCAGAATCAACTCGAAGATGCATCTGTTCCGGCCGGAAGTGCATCGACGGGGTCACGAGTTGGACATTGAGCATCGTGTGGACAATGATTTGGAGGGAAAGAGTTTCTCCTTCTACGACGATCTGCGGAGGCGAAGATACAAGCAACAGGCGATGTGGCATGCAATCCAGCAGACGGACGCCTCAGAGGAGATCGCCAATGCCTTCCTGCGCGAGGTTGAGCACCTGTTCTCGAAGGGAGTTCAGGGAATTCTCACGTCGTACATCCAAAGAATGCTCCAGCCAGCGATCAAGAACACGCTGATGGAGGGAATGGGATACACTCTATCTTATGGCTAAGACGTTGTATGTTCTTTATTGCAAACCAAGGAAATACGCAACAACTTGCTTGCCAATCTTTACTACGTCGATACCTCGAATTTGCAGTTCGTTGAAGGCAATTCTCACCTCTTGATTGTTCTATTGGAAAAGATAGGAAATGGTATTTATGATGAATATGAAATATAATTGAGTGTCTTACCACAACATTGAGAGCAGCTTTTGCTGTCTTTGGTGATGCCAAATTCGCCATGAGCTTCCTGAAGTCCGGACTGAACATCAGCTTCTCAAGGTAGAGTTTAATCAACTTCTCACGCGGCAGAAGACGAAGAATTGCATCCACAAGTCCACTAACACCGCCAGCTGTCACGGCTCTTCCGCGGGGAACATATTCCGGCAGGAGCAGGATGAATGCGAGGTCATTGAGAGTGGAAATCACGGGAAGATTGTAGCTCTCCAGCAAGGCGATGAGCTCATGAACTGCTGTGGTGTCAATGGCTCGTGCGTAGAGTTGCTTAAACTCACTCGATTGGCTGTAAATGTAGAGTTGTCGCACTTCAGGATCCGTGAGAATGTGGGAAAAGGCGACGCTCATAATGTCACTCATTGGAATCAAATCGGCAAAGTCCTGGAGATCCTGCTGAAGATCTCTGGACGCGACAGACTTTCCCTCAAACACCACATCACCTTCGTATTCGCAGAAAGCGAAAGGTAGGAAGAGAAGAAGAACAGCAGAAAGTTTCATCTTTTTAGTTAGAAAGCGCACTGATTATCAGTGTGGCGAAAGTCTGTGAATTTATAGACAATAACTTGGGCTGATAACACTTTTGCAACATCCCTTTGGCCATCGAGAGTCTGATAAAGAACTTGAGATTGGGTAAACAATGCGACTAATCGGGTGCATTAGAGTGCGAAATAAATAAATTAAAGTCAAGATCAAACCGGTATGAGTGAAAATTCCCATTTTATTTGAGCTTTTTGCCTCTGTTTTCAACTGTGAGAGAATTTGAAGCATTGCGTCTTGGAATGATAAGGCCATGGAATGTAATTGCGTGTCATGTGGAATTTTCCTTTTGCAGAAAATCACGACAATATTTGCAATCTGATTCACAATCAATTTTCTCCACACAAGCAATTGACAAGCGAAGTAATCTGGTAAATGCACGTCGTTAACACTCAATCTGACTTTGGGAGGGAAAATCATGTCTTTATTTCAATTCAAAGTATTCAAAAACTATTCATCGATATCAAAATCATCATCTGAGGTTTTCTGCCAGCCGAAAATTGCACTCAATTGCCTGACAATTCGCTCAACATCGATTCCGTAGCTTTCGATTTTCTTCACAAGAGCAGCGATTTCCTCCGACTCCTTGGCGTATTCTTCGAGGTGGATGAAGTCAAACTCCTGGATTTTCTTGTACACCACAGAAAATCCTGGGCTGTTGGTCAATTTGCGGACAAGAGCGCTGCGGAGCTCCTTCTGCGGCAGACAAGCCTTGACATCGGCAATGAGTCCTCGAAGACCACCTGTTCTGGCCACAGAAGCCTTGGCGGGGTTGGGAGGATAATTGGGCAGACGCAGAAGCGCTTCCAGGCTTGAGAATTTCTCCGTATTGAGTCCTTGACTGCCCAGAAACTCCACAAACTCCTTCACATCCTTCATGGCTGTGATCTCGGCGAAGATCTTCTTGGCGGCGTCGCTCTTGAGATAACCCACAATCTCCTGGATCTCAGGATCCGTGTGATAGTAATCCTCAGCGATCTGCTTGATCTTCTCAACCGGCAGGAGACCAATAATCTCATCCAGATCCTTCTTGAAGCTCCCCACAGGCGTGCCAAAAGCCACTCCAGCGAGAACGGCGAACACAATTGCGTGCAACTTCATTTTCGCGCCTTTTTCACACTCGACTAACAACGTTGAGTTGATTAAAATTGAACACTGAAAGCTCCATTTCCCCGGCGAGAGCTTTTTATAGTTCATGGAGTGTGTCATGAAGGAATGACGCCCAGGGTAAAGTCTCAGCGACACTTTTCCTCAATCTTAATTAATTCCAATCAATCACATTTACTCACTCTAGAATTCCAATTAACAACATCTTTTAGCTTTATGCACTCGATTTTCTCCGCTGATTTCCCTGGTGATTTCACAAGAGTGGCATTTATCGCCGGAATGTATGGGGAATTGTGTGCTCGCCGACTTGCGTCTCTGGAAATCCAGCCCAGTGAATCAACGAACAATCATTGGAATAATTTCAAAGCAACTCATTATAGTTTATTTACATAACATCATGGTTCGGCACATGTCAGAATGACTAGTTGGCTTCTTAAGGGAAACCGAAGAACTCCTTGAAGACCTGCACGAACTTGAGCGCATCGAGACCCTTGCTCTTGAGCTCCTTCAAGTATCCCTGGACCTCGGCGTTGTTCAGCAGGTTGTCGGTGAGTTTCTTGAACTCAGCGCCAGTCATCTTCTCGTACATGGCCTTGAATTCGGGGCTGGTGGCGAGCTTCTCCTTGAACAGGGCGACGAGCTTGTCCTTGGGCAGGAGAGCCAGGAGATCGTTGAGGAAACCATCGACTCCGGTTCCACGGCGAGCGGGCTTGACTGGGGGCAAGTTCAGGAGATTGGCGACCTCATTCAGCAGACTCACGACATCGAGTCCAGCAGCTTGGACGAAGTTCAGCACGGCCATGACGTCCTTGTTCTTGAAGAGACCATCCCACATCTTGGCGAATTCGGGGCTCTGGAAGTACTTCACGACCTCCTGGAACTCCTTGTCGGTGCCGAGGTACTCAACGGCCAGCTTGAGGAAGGCGTCAACTGGCAGGAGGTCCAGGAACTCCTGCAGATCCTCATCAAGACCACGAGTCTGGGACAGATTCACAGTGGAGAAGGCTTGGCTGGAAGCCACAGCGGCGATGATGGCGAAAACAGCGATGAACTTCATCTTTATTCCTTTGCTTTCCTCAGACTTTCTGTTGATCCCGAAGTGAAGGTTTGAACTGATTGGAAATGTCTCCGGGAACGTCTTTTATACACGCTTCGTCAAGTGCTTGCTGGTGGGAAGCTCTTAAGGACCTCTCATGGGAATAAGTGTGCAGCTTGATTTCAGATCCGTTTCAGTCTTATCTCAACTCATTGAGACTTCTCAAGCACGCTCCACTAATTCTAATGCAAATAAACAATTTCTCGGAGAGTCTCTCACTGTCCGGGTATATAAAGATCCGGAGATCCGGTAGGGAACAAGTCATTTTCCTACGTGATTCTCTCAAGCAAACATGAAGATCGCTCTGATTGCTCTCGTCGCTCTGGCCGCTGTCCTGGCCTCGGCTTCCGCCGTTCCCGCCACTCGTGGCCTGAAGGAGGACTTCGACGACTTCGTGAAGCTGGTGGATCTGCCCCAGCTCAAGCGCGTGGCCCTGAAGTACTACGCCAGCGACAAGGAGACCAAGCAGTTCGTCAAGTACCTGAAGGGCGAGACCTTCGCCGCTGTTTGGGACCAAGTCTTCACCAACGAGCACGTTCTCCAGTTCCTGAAGAACCTCCAGAGCCAGGGAGTCGATGTGCAGTCCGTCGTGAATCAGGTCGCCAAGTTCCTGAAGCACCCACAAGTCGATCTCGGCTTCCTCGTGCGCAAGCCCGGCAAAGGTCTGAAGGAGCTCGTGACTGAGCTCGTGAACGTGCTGCCTTTGGCCGATCTGAAGGCTCTCTTCGATGAGAAACTCCAGACCAGCGAGGAATTCAAGCAGCTCTTCGACACCGTCGCCGCCTTCGACTACGACGCCATGAAGGACTTTGTCAACAACTCTGAGCAGTTCCTGGACCTCTTCGAGACCCTCAAGTCCTACGATCTCGATGTCGACGCGTTCTTGCACGACGTGGAGGAATTCTTTGGATGGAACTAAAGTCAAATAATGGGAAATTATGCATACAGAAACTTTAATGCCCAATAAAAATATATTTTAAAGAAAAAAAATACATGATTTTTGATTTTCATCTAATTTTTGCTGGTAATTTGACAGCTTATTAAAATTCAGAAGTACTTAAGAAGTGGAAGTGTTGTAATATTTGGTAAATTTTGTAACAATAAATAATAAAAAATAATTAAAATAATGCCAAAAACACCTATTCTCATGATAAAAATAGAATTTTTCGTATTTATTGATAAAATAAAGCATTTTGAGTTAAAATCTTTAATTGCGACTGTTGAAAATATAAAATTTGAATAATTTTAAATCTTATAAGTAGTTTTTTAATATTGAATTTTGGGTTATGTTCGGAAAAACCTCTATAAAAATTATTAAACATAGTTTTTCACTAAAATATCGATTGAGAAATTTTTAAATTTCTTTTTCAAAGTTCTTGAAAGACGACCAAGAATGGTTTTAAATTTGAGTAAGTTATTGCAAGTAAAGCACGAACAAGAGCTAAAATCGTTATGATTATTAACAAAATTGATTCTATGACGAGAGATAAAATATTGAAAAATTAGAATATTTACTCAAAACACCTTTTTTGAAATCACTTATCTGATATACTTGGTCTTAATCAAGAGATTCTGCAGTTTCTAACACTCAGAGAAAGAGAAGTCTGAGAAATTTTTATAGGAACTTATCAGAAACTTGTGCTGCAACACGAGAACTTAAGATTTATCCGCGTTCATCAATAAATAGAAAAAAAAATCAAATAGCAACTGAACAACAGCCACGAACACCGTTAATAAATTAAATGTACCACTTAGTCTGTCTTCAAAATAACCACAGTTGTCTTATCAATCTCCATGTGGAATGCTTTCGTCCAAGCGAAGAGTCTCTCAACAGCTGAAGTATTTGTACTTCAACTCACCGGTTTAGGAGTATAAATACACCCAAATTCACCTGCAAATGCATCAGTTCTGCAATCATGAAGATCGCTGTCGCTTGCATTTTGCTCTCCTTCTGCGCCTGCTCCTTGGCCGCCACGCCTCGGGATCTGGAGTCGGACTTCAACGAGTTGGCCGCGCTCATTCCCACCAACCAGATTCAGGATGTGGTGACGAAATACTTCATTCTCGACGGTGAGACCAGGAAATTCGTCAAGTACCTCAAAGGAGAGAGTTTCCGCAAGGTTTGGGACCAGACCTTCGCCTATCCCGACGTCAAGGACCTTCTGCAGTACCTGCAAAGCAAGAATGTCGACCCAACTGCTCTGCTCAATCAGCTCGCTGATCTCCTGGGACTTCCTCACGTCACTCCCGACGTTATCCTTGGACATGGCGTGAGGCTGGGCGGTGTAAAGGGACTCTTCGACGAGGTTCTCGCCCTGCTGCCCTTGGACAAGTTGCAGGCTCTGCTTGAGGACAAACTCGCCAACAGCGAGGACTTCAAGGCGCTGTACGAGAAGGTTTCCTCATACGACTTCAAAGCATTCGAGGCTTTCGCTGAGAATTCTGAGGAAATCCAAGACTTGCTGAAACGTCTTAATGGCTACGGACTTTCCCTCGATGAGCTCGTCAATGGCGTGAAGGAATTCTTCAACTGGAATTGATTTTGAATCGAATATGTGAAATATATTTTTGAGAAGCAAACATTTTGAATTTTTTTTTGTACATTTCTGGATTTTTCTCAGGAAATATGACCGAAAATTTCTCTGAAAGTAATAGACATAAATTTGAAATGAAAAGTTAGGAATGGAAATCATCACGAAAGATTAATTGCTGTCTGGTTTATATTCTTTTCTAGTCTTTTTCTAGGTTATGTAACGAAACTAAGCCAGATTTAGTGAATAATTTACATTCTAACACATCAATTCTTATGTTCAAGTCGGAGAGATCGACAGTCATTAGTAGAATTAAGCATTTATATACAATAAACAACTCTATTCTGACTGATTATTGGATTGAACTCGGACATAACCTCAAAAATAGTCATTTGGATCTGGAAAATGGTAATTTAGCAAACTCTATAAACGACTTTGACTGAAAATTAACAATTTTTTAGTTCGTTGGCAAATCATAACCAGATGATATTGTTTTCTAGAAAGCTTCAAAACAGAGTTTTTGAAGATCTTTGAGTTACATTTCAAGGTTATGGTTGGAAAAGATGTTAAAAAATGCGATTTTAAGTGAATTCTTGCAGAAATATCGGATGAAAACTAAAGAAAGTCTAAAAACTTCATGTTCTAGAAGTGTCAGGCAAATTTATAAGTTTGCTTTCTCGTTTATTTTCGTAGCGAATAATAATAATTTTAGGGCTTATTATTGAAAAATTAAATTCTAGTCTAACTAAACATGAAAGGATTTTTTTCAAATTAATGTTTGGTCTCGAAACCTCCGCTTGATTCATGACTCATGATTAATCACAGCTGCAGAATTGCTTTTTTTGAACATTTTTCTTTTTTTCACGCGTCAATAACATGTAATCATGAACATATAATTATTTCATTGTTTATTTTATATTTAACAAACTTGACTCAGCGCTCTCTTATGACATTAATTGCCACATTTCGTAAAACAATCATAAGATCTTGAAATTGTACATTCTTACAATGTCAAGAGGCATTTCAGGGAAAGCTATTTATTGTTTTGTCTGCTTTTTTGAGAGCTTTTTAATCCTGCAGCTGTTTCCAAGCCACAAAGTCAGTGGGTCAGTAAGTATGGCGGATAATTAAGTGTTTCTATCCGGGATTAGTTTGTCTAAACACTTGATGCTGCATATAAAAGGTGTGATTCTCAGGTAGACAGATCAGTTTGGGTCTAACTTCCATTGCAAAATGAAGAGTTTCATTGCTATTTTCTGCCTGGTTTGTGTGGCTTTGGCCAGCGACGTCGAGGAGTCCAAGGACTTTGACTTGGAGTTGTTCCTCACGCCTGAACTTAACAGCGACTTTGCCGATTTTGTGGAACTCCTGCCGGTCGATGAGGTCCTGGAAGTGGCTGAATTTCACTACGAAAACAACAGCGGACTCAATAAGACGCTGAACTATCTGAGAACGAAGAAATTCGCCAAGCATTGGGACAATTTGTTCGGACTCAAGGAAGTGAACAAGTTCTTGGAGTTCGTCAATGAAACTGGTCTCAATGTTTACGGAGTTTTGGATGAATTTGCTGAGTACTTCGAGTTGTCGCCTGTTGGCGAGGATTTCGAGGAGCCAGGTGAGTTTAATTGCCAAGCGTGGGTGGAAAAGTGGGAGTTTGAAGGATATTTTCTTGTAGAAACCATGGACAGGATGGAATACACGTGGGGATTCAATGCTCTGCTGAATGATGTCGTCGAGCTGTTCCCCAAGGATGAGCTGAAGGCTTGCTTCGACAAGAAGGTGGCTCTGGGTCAGGACTTTGCCGATTTCGTCGCCAATTACTCCACGCCGGAATTCCGGAAGGTTCTGAAGAATCTGGAAATGTCTCCAGTCGCCCAGAAGCTCTTCAAGCGGTTCCGCAAGCACGGACTCGATGTGCACAAGCTCGTGAATCTGGGCTTGGCTGTCTTTGGTCTCAATTGAGGGAGAAAAAACTGTTTTATTGACAGAAGATAGACAATAAAGAGTTGTGAAAGAAATACGGCAGTTGATCAGTAGGAGCCCCAGCCGAAGAATGCCTGAACGGACTGCACGATTTTGCTCACGTCGATGCCATGCTGATGAAGTGTGGCCAGGAGGCTTTTGAGTTCTCTGGAATTCTAAACATATCACTCAATTAGGCAACGTCTGAGAGCTGACCGAGGGCGGTCGGCGTCTCACCTCAACGAAATCCAGCACCCTCTCGAATTCACTGCTGCCGATGCGCTCGATGAGGTTGGAAAATGCCGAACTCGTCTCCAACTTGAGGAAGAACAGCGAGAGAATTTGATCCTGAGGCAAGAGCGCCACAATTGCGTCCACGAAGCCACTCACACCGCCCAAATGCGTTGCACTTTCCACTAAAAGGGTAGAAGAAACTTCGGTCATTGACGGGGGAAAAAAAGGTGTTGTGGAATGAATGCTAATTGCTCACGGCTTCTGTCTTCGAGGGAGACTTCTTCGGTGTCCAAAGCGTCCTGCGGCGGTCCGACGATTCTCGCCAATTTGTTCACCAACTCCACAAGATTCAACTCCGACTCATTGAGGTACTTGAGGAAGTCCGTCACTTCCGGCAAGTTGAGAATCTTCTCTCTGAGCGCCAGGAACTCCTCACTTTGGCAGTATTCATAGGCGAAGCGCACCTCCTGGTCGCCGAAATAGTAGCGCCTGGTGAGATTCTTCACCTCCTCCTTCGGAATCAGATCCAGGAAGTCATCGATGTCCTGCCGCAGGTCGAATTTGCCCGGGTTCTTGACCTCTTCGCGGGATTCGGGCGCCCCATGGCCCAACTTGGGGTGGTTCAGATGACTCCCAATGCACTCTTGCCACCCCAGGAGGACACTCAGCATCACCAGCAAACCCCGCGAACTCATATCTTATCAGTGACTCTCGCCGTGCCTCGCTCGATCGAATCCCACACTTGAACTGACAACACAAATTGACTCGCCAGCCTTACACATAATTTACTTAATACTATTTACGCGGACGGCAATCAAACAATCAAAATAAGTGTTATGCTGAGCGGATGATTCTCTGTATATTGCAGTTAATTCACCCGCTCCTCCGCCATGTCTCACGTTTCGCTCATGGCGACACGAGAGAGTGATAAGAGTGGAGTGTCATTGGGTAATTCAATTCTTATTTATAGAAAAAAATTTTTCCTAACATGTTTGCCAACGGAGGGGCGAAAAGCCGCGAGACAAGTATTTGTAAATGTTTCATGCGTGTTTCACAAGTGTGGATTGCCAATTGAGATTCTTCTGCCTCGCGATTCAGATACCCAAGTAGCAAGAAATGCTCTTTTAGAAGCTGATTGTGAAGAAGAAGTATTCATTTATCTATACAAACTTCAATTGTTTTTTTGATTATTCCAAGAAATATTTGAATATTTGATTTTATTGTCTGAATTTTTTGATTATTGTCTGAATATTTTATTAAAATTAAAATTTTTTAAATGAATTCTCCACAAATTGCCACCAGAGGGCAGCAATTGAGCTTTAAAAGCATGTAAACGTTCCGATTGTATTTCCCTGGGGTGAGAAAACTGTCCTTTTACTCTGAATATTCTGAAAATATTTAAATATATTCTAATATTTTCAGAATATGTTACTAAAAATATTCAATTCTAGATTATTTTACAATTTAACTTGGAAAATAATCATTTTTGATTACTTTTATTCAAATTTTGATTAATTATTAGAAAAAATCAAGATTTTAATATTTTATTTACTTGGAAAAGCCTTAGAAAAAGACACGAAAAAAAATTAATTTTTGTGGAATTCTATTCAAAAGTCCGTGGTTTTCTTAACAGTCTTAGCAATGCAAAATGAACGGTTGAATTATGATTCATGTGACATTGATAATTGAATAATGCCATATTTGATGAGTGAGTAAGTTTGAATCTTATCAGAGTGACTGTGATTTTTTTGGCGCCAAAAGCTCGTCGCAATCTCTACAATCATTCATTTGTAAGACAACAATCGAAGGTGTGAATGACTTTGGAGTTTCCCACTTGTTTTCTTTCTCCACTCCTTCTCGAGTATCGCGGAGCTTTTCGCTCCAGAAAAACCCACAAATATGAGTCAGAATATGGCGAAGTTGTGGAAAAATCACCGAAAGTCATTGAAAATAGTAAAGATAGAAATCTCCAGTGCTTGTTGATATTTCCAAATTACCAAAAGCACGCAAACACTGGCAGAGACAAGAGTTAATTAATTGGAAAATCGCAATCAGTGCGCAAAAGGTGTCTAGCAAGAAGATATTCTGCGGGGAGGTATAAAAGATGGGACTCAGTGGTGGTTTGAGACAGTTTCAGTGCGAGTGACTTCGAGTAAACGCCAAGATGAAAGTGTTGATCTGCTTGTCCCTGTTTGTGGCCGTGACCCTGGCGCTGCCTCCGCGGCCTCTGCCTGACTTCGACGATGAGCACGATCACGATCACTCCTTCCCGCGCCCAATGCCCGGCCCCAGACCGCCAATGCCCGAGGACATCAGCCCTGAGCTGCAGGAGCTGCACCGCGACGTCATGGACTTCGTGAAGCTCCTGCCGCACAGGGAGATGCACAAGCTGGTCAAGCAGGCCTTCAAGAACGACGAGGAGATGCGCGAGACCATCAGGTACCTCCGCTCCCCGGCCTTCCATGAGGTCATGAAGGAGATCGAAGCTCTGCCAGAGGTTCAGGCTCTCGGCCAGCACTTCCAGCCCACGGAGATCGCCACCCGCGCCATCCTCGCCGTCGACGCTGAGATCGCCATTGACACTCTGCCCGGAGTGTTCAGCAACCACCACACCGGCGGACTGTGCGGCCTGATCGACCGCATCATCGACATTCTGCCCCACAACGAACTGCGCGCGCTCCACCGCGAGAAGGTCGCCAACGGCGGCGTCTTCGCCGAGATTGTCGCCTTCCTGACCAGCGACGAGTTCAAGGCCGGCGTGGAGAAGGTCTTCGAGTCCCAGCGCTTCCAGGAGCTCGACGCCACTCTCCGTGAGAACGGTGTGTGCATGGACAAGTTCGTGGAGCTCGGCATGAACGTGTTCGGCTTCCACTAAACCACTTCGCCGCCTTAAGATGCTGGGAAGAGATTCCCTAATTACATGTTCACCTGTATTTTGTGCCAAGAAGAAGAGGATTTAATAAAATGTAGCAGCTTAGATGGGACCTTTAATGACTTCTTATCTACACTTTCAATCGTCATGTTCACCGTGTGGACAAGATTCTTGATAATATTGCGCGCGATTTGACCTTCAGACGTTGTTGTTGTGCGTCTTGATGACTTTATCAGGAGTCCCAGGAAAAAAAACACACAGTTGAAAACGCACGATAAGACGCAAATTGGCAATAGCAGTGCCTTAGCGCACAATCCCCATGATATCCTCTCATTAGTCAGTTTCACTAAATCCCTGATGAATGCTTGGGGAATGAAGTGCTTTTTGCTACTCAATTACCGAGTATCAGAAGCAGATTTCTGCCATTTCAAAGACGTCTCCCCTGACATTCCGGATCCAGGCAAACTTTCCACATTCAATGGGAAATCATAGTGCAAACGTCTGGGTGCCAATTTCTCCATAGCTCTGGCTGTATATTTTTTTCCATTCCACTCTCGTCTGACTCCTGGATCCTTCATACACTTCTGAGCTCACTCTCTGGCTCGAGGAGAGCGCATATGGGAGGAAATTTGAAGATATGTTAAATGCCTCAACTTTTCCATGAGATTTCCGCCAGCAGGAAACTTGCTCACATTGAAAACCAAAAAGTGGAGGGGCGAAGGATATAAAGTTCAGGATGGGTTTGAGAGTGAGAGCGAGAGTTTCTCTTGTGAACAACATTTTGAGTGTTCTCTATTCAATTTCCTGTATTCCCCAAGTCACTCACCGAGGCTGAGGCGCTTTTGTAATTTGACACAAGAAAATGCACTCATTTTCCAACCATACTCAAAACTGCCAAAGTATATAGCGCACTCTTGGCCCCTAAAAGCGCGCTGCGAAGAGTGGCAAAAGGTTGATGGCTCGGAAAAATGTATATCTCTTCGCTGGCGGGGGTGTTTTACGTGTCCTTAGAGAGACAATGAACATTTTCTGTTCGGAGGAGTGAATATTGATTTGCTCCTTTTTGCCCGAATGACGCCGTGAATTCGGGCAAAATGAGTTCTCTCGCACTAAAACACACCGAGCATAACCGCAAACAGACGCCATGCAGAACACGATCTCGTGAGTGGAGAAACTTGGTGGACTTTCTGAAGAGTCGGGCGACCGAGAACCCCCTTGTTTTTGATTAAACATGTTGGTGACATCAATTGTACACGGCCGACGAACGATGTCGGACACCTATAAGTACACAGACGACTGAGAGTGGGCAAACGGCTGTTGTTCAACATTAAAGCCGTCCGAGGGGTTTGCAACGAGCCGCTGATTTGCATTCATAAGCAGAGAATCAAGAATTTCAGATGTCAAGACCAAGGGGCAGATATTATGGTCGGAAGTGGTGTACAGCTCTTGTGGCAGTGGAATAATATTTGTATTGCTAAAGCTTCTATTTCTACAAATTGAGGCATTTTCTAAGTTATTTTTCCTTTGCGAAATCAAATTTATTACTTTTTTAGGTTATGTAATTGATTTAAGACAGATTTATGCCTATGTTGGGATTATTTCTGTTTTTCTCAACAGAATTTAGCGTTTGTGTACAAAAAACTTCAGATTGTTTAAACTACATTAGCAGGAAAGAATTAAGCGCCAATCATAACCTCAAAAATGTAATTTCTTTCGGCTTTTGCTGAAATTTGTGATCTGTTTTCACATTGATTCTTAAATTTAAGTGAATTTCCTAAGTTTCCATCCAAAATTTCTGTAAGAATCGACATAAAAACACTGTTTTGGTCATCTTTTTCGACCATAACCTCAAAAATATCACCAAGAAATCTTTAAAAGCTCCGTTTAGAAGCTTTTTTGATCACAAAATCATCCCCTTTCATTTGCCGATGAATTCAAAATTAATGGTTTATAGATAAAATCGTCCAATAGGTTTTCAAAAGTAACATTTTTGAAGTTTAAATGACTATTTTTTGAGGTTATGTTCGAGTTTTATACAATTTGAAATGTTTTTCAGCATCAAGAGTTCAAAAAAGGGAAATTTATTGCATGGAAATGCTTATTTCTACCAATCACTGTCGATCTCTTCAATTTGAGAATAAGAATTGATGTGTTAGAATGTGAATTATTTACTAAATCTATCCTTGATTCTTTACATAACCTATAAAAGAATTATTGTGATTATTTCTACGCAAAAATCAAAAGAATCGGGTTAATTTGGCAGTGAAAGAAGCACTCAAGAAAGGAATAATTTATGCTTTTGAACCACTTCTGACTATATAATCTCCCCCTTAATAATGACTACTTAGCGTCGATGAATTCATGACACATTCACCCCTCGACATGCAAAATAGCAACTTTAGTGATGCCACTGAAGAGATCTTTGCAATGCAGAGTGAATCATGATACCAAATAATACTCCTCGTCTCATGTGAACAATGCGAGACAACAATTGGTGATTATCACAACCTGAGATCACTGACCAACAAAATATGCTCATCACTCATCGCCGAAAATCCCCCAAAAGACACTCTCTCTCTGTGTTGAATGCCTCAATTTAAATATCTTACGCACAATAAATCGCATTAAAAACATGCGGATTATTTGTGTGTGGAATTTTAATTAATGCCTTTAAAGGTGCAGGATTTGCATGCAAACTGAATTTTTTTTTTCACCAGTGAAATGGAAATTGTTTAATATAAATCACACTAAAATTCTGGCAAACATTCAAAATTTCCAGCAATTAGTGCAAAATGCACACAAATTGCGTCCACACTGAATGAATTATAACTTCCCAATTTTTTTTACCATCGCTTCTCACCCCCGGGAAAAGTTTCAATTTTCCACCGCGAGAGCTGCAGAGAAGTGATTAAGCGGGAAAGGACAATTTTAATGAATGCACAAAATTGGAACTGAACAGAAATACAGATTTCCAATGGGTTTCGATATACTTATGGTTGTGAAAGAAAAGTCTTTAATCACAACGAGCGACAGTGGAATTAATCGAGTGTGGAAATGCCATTAAATTGAGAAACAATCGGTTGGAAAGTGATTTATAATTAATTGGATAGTCCCATATTTGCTGTCAAAAAGAGAGACATTTATCAATTTAAAACCGAAAAAGCCTCATATCAAAATAGTTTTGCATTCGCCACAGACGGGGAAGGTTTTCAGCAAACTATGGCGAAAGTTGTGGCAAATATTGTTGGCTGGGGTTGTTCAAAAATTCCATTACACAGCGCAGAAATGCCCACAAATTGACCAGAAATAGCTTTTATTTGGCGGAAAAGTATCAATTTTAATTACAACGCCTTTTTTTCTCTCTCTCTCTCTCTTTCATTCGCAGGTAAACAAAGCCACTGACAATGTCCCGAATACAGGCTGTGAGAATAGGGTTGAGAGTGCTCATTTCCTTCGTGGCGGTATCATTTTTCGCACCACGAACTTCACCCTCAGTATTGTCACAACAAACCGCAGACGAAGGTATTTTGCCCTTTTTCCCCTTTTTGTCCCATCGCGGCACATGCATGATCTCCATATTTTTTAATCATGAAATAATTTACGACAATCCACCCATTGAGACCCCGTCGAGGGTGTGTATGTGCCAAGGGGGAGATAATATGCCTTGAATCTGCACTCTGCGCAGAATCTTCACCCTTTGAGACGTTTCTGAACGTCTTTGAAGGCATTTTTTAGACTCCTTCGACTGTTTCTTACGCTCATTTCTAACTGATTGCAATCTAGAAGCCTTAAGCTGCTCAAATACTTGGATTTAGGATTGTAAGAAATGATCTTAATGTCTCAGAATTTATACATGAACAATTTCCGTTTTAATTTTCTAATTTTGTCTTTAGAAAATGCATAGAAAAATTCTAACTAAATTGTGAGGTTATGAATCTGGCTTACAAAATCCTTCTTTGACTAATTTTAATCCTTTTGAATGCTTGAATTGAGTAAATATTGTGAATATCAAAATGTTTTTACTAGATTATGAAGTTGAATTTGCTATATTTCAAACATTCTTTTAGACTGAAGTGACATTTCTTGAGGTTATTATTGACTTTTAAGCTTTTTCTCAGCCAATACGAAATTATTTTCAACATAAATGCACAATTATGTCAAGAAAAAGAGAAATATTTCCAGATTAGGCACAAATTTGTTGATTTTCAGGATCATTTGAATATCCAGAATCTTTTTTAAACCTATAAAAAGCAATATAATTGATTTTTATAAGGAAAATAACTCAGAAAATGACTATTTTCTTCATATTTTTCCATTTTCAATTCCTAACACTTCTGTCACAAACTGTACACCACTTCCGACAGACATTCCGATAATATCTGCCCCTTGGAATGTGCAATATGGCTGAGGTGTCTCCTAATTTCCATGCAAGTGCGAGAGTGAATGCCGCGCGAGGCGTCAAAAATTAATGGAGAAACTTTTTCTAGGTATTGTCAGGGTGTAATTTTTGTCGTATTAGACTCTTTTGTTTCTGCCCGAGAACAATCCTTTGTGCTCCTTTTTTTCCACATACGCGCGGTGCTCGAATGGAAGGCAGCATCACGCCTGCGAGAGTAACAATGGGGTTTCAGGGACTCTCTGGGTGGATTAATTTCAGGCTCAGCTCTGCGTCTTTAGCAGGACAACCAGAGAGGAGTTTTTTGCAGAGCCATCAGAATTAGAATTTAATCCACTCTTCCAGGGCTGATCATGATCGCTAGATCGCTTTGAGGGTGTTCTCATCCCCATGTGAAGCTGATAAAATGTGTCCGAAACACCATCGAGATAAAAGCAGGAGCGGATTCCGCGAAACACCCCAATCCGCCGGCGACGCAACCCTCCGACCGCCGCGAACGCGGTTGGGGCGCAACAAAAGGAATGCGGTGGAATTGTATCATGGGCAAACATAAGAGTGGTTAGCATGAGTGCTGGCTGTTGGGGTGGATTTCAGAGGATGGCTCGCAACTGGGATTTGCATTCCCTTGCGCAGTTTAATAATTATTACGATGTGGTTTTATTCGTACACACCGAAAACATTTATACAACTGCGTATCACACTTTGCCAATTG